ATTCAACTAACAAACGCATATATAATACTTCAAATGCACATATCAAGAAGATCTTTCAAAACATATTGAAATTCATAGTTAAATCATAAATTCGCGTAATAGAAGATAACACACCTAGTTTGTGAGGATAACGCCTTATCATGACTATCAAAGTCTCAATTGCTGCAAGTCAGATGAAAACGGAGGAACAATCTTCTTCTGGATGTCCGGAAGAAAGGGATCCAGTGTCTAATAAGGTCCTCTTCACTTTGCAACAGTTCTACCAAAAAAATTATTAACTGCTAGTTGGAACAAATCCTAATAATCAATCCGTTCAATTTACCAATTATCAATTAAAAGAACTTTAATGCTGGCACTCTAAGCTTAACTTGTTCGGAACTTAAGATCTTTGTAGCAAAAGAAAATTACACTTCGAATTAGAGGAGAACAAAAGTCTTACTGAGATTAGAGTACGTACAATGGAAAACTGAACAAGTTGTGCTCAGCCTAATTTGGTTGTACGTGCGTGCTTGATTCGCGGGCCGCCTGTCCGCCGCCGCTGGCACGACGACCGTCCTTCACCGGCCGTGCGCTGGGCGATGGCGCTCGCCGCTCGCCGCTGGCTGATTAGTTACTTAGATGCTAGGGTTCCAAAAGAACTACAAGAAGGGGGCGCCAGGATTCAGGAACATCTTTTGGAATCTGGAGACAAAACGTCGATCAATCAGCGCAGATACACGTACGAGCAGACCAAACGAGCCAATCTTTCACGTGTACAGGGCCTGAGTTGGGCCGGTTGTGTTTTCATTTTTCTATATGGAATAGTATATTAAACTAATGGGCTGAATTCCAGGGTGGTCCGTGGACCACCCTGGCCACCCTACAGCTACACCACTATTCTCGGGGTTGAGCATCAATTTTCATAAGAGCACCTTGATTCATGTCTGTGTGGAACTGAACGTCGCCTCTGCAATTGCTCTTGCACTCGGCTGCCAGGTCTCCTCCTTTCCATGCACTTATCTAGGGCTGCCACTGTCCTTGCACAAGATCAAGCATGGTATGCTGCTGCCGGTCATCCACAAGGTTGATCGCCGTCTATCAGGTTGGCTGGCCACTTTTCTCTCCCTAGGGGGGAGGAGGTTGATGCTCATTAATTCAGTCCTGGCTGGCATACCTAGTTATTTCATGGCTTGCTTTCCATGGCCCAAGGAATCCCTGGGTAAACTGGACGGCACCCTCAGAGCCTTCTTCTGGCAGGGTAAAAGCAAGGTCAAGGGAGGTCATTGCCTTGTGGCTTGGGATTCAGTCATTCTAGCACGCTACAATGGTGGTTTGGGTATACGGAATTTGGAGGCTCATAACCAGGCTATGCTTTGCAAGTTCTCTTCAGCCTTCTGATATCCCGTGCTTCCGCTGGTTTGCGTCACAGTACTGCCAGGGTTCTCTGCCACATGGGGTTGGTTACAAGGACACTGCCGTGTGGAAGGGCTTCAAGGGCTGCCTTCCTTTGGTCATTTCCTCCTCGCGCTGCTCTGTTGGGGCTGGCTCCCATGTCTTCTTTTGGTATGATCAATGGCTGGGCGCTGGATGCTTAAGGCATAAATTCCTGACCCTGTGCTTGTTGCCGTCAACCAGTTCTGCTCCATTCGGTCTCAATTCACCAAAGGAAGCTGGAATGTGCGGCTACGGCCAAATTTATCCCACACAGCTGCCCAGGAACTTTTGGAGCTCAACCAACTGCTTACTAATGTGACTCCTAACAGCCAGCACTCGGATGCCCGTGTGCCCTCGCTTGCCAGCAAGAAACTTAGCACAAGTTATTTCTATCAGTTGCTCACATTCCGTGGTGTGCGGTGGGCTTTCGAGTCATGGATTTGGGACCCCATTATTCCCATCAAGCACAAGGTTTTTCTGTGGTTGGTCTTCTGGGGTCGTTTGAACACAAAAGATAACATGATGAAAAAAGGCTGGACCATGGCTGCCCCAAACGCTGGATGTGACCTCTGCCCGGCCGTGGAATCAGCTGATCATTTGATGTTGCGCTATCGCCATGCCAATGCTCTTTGGGAGAAGCTTCTGTTGGCTGCCATGGCGCGTGACTCGCCTAACGTTAAGCACTTCGTATATCATGCTGCAGCTCAGCTGGATGACAAGCGCAAGTGAAATGTTGTGTTTGCTGCCTGTGCGGTAACCCTTTGGCACGCTAGGAACGATCGAGTCTTTAACCAGAAAAACTGGACGGAGCCTTACTTTAGGTTCTATGCAGCCAGTTTGATTCGCCTTTGGTGCAACATAGCTTTGAAGCAGCAGGATAGGGAGGTTTTGCAATCTTGGGCTACTATGATCGAAGGCTAGTAGGACTGTTGCTCTCCCTCTCTCCCTCCTTTCTGTCCCCCTTCCTCTCTCTGACCTGGTTTGCTTGTGGCCTTTGCACCTGGGTGCACAACACAAGCACATGTACTTGTACTCTTTTCAGGCTCACGCCTGTTTTGAAATATAAGGTAGGCCTCGAGCTACCTTTCATCTTCAAAAGAAAAAAGGTCCCCGCTTTTTTTTTCGAGACACAAAAAGAAGGTCCCCGCTGACCATCTCCAGATAATCCCCCATCGACTGCAATTTACAGAGAATTTAGATCGCGGGCCTGGCCCAGCTGGAGCCTGGTCCGGGAGTCCCATGGCGGCGACGGACCAGACCAGGCCACAGACACCGAGTCGAACTCTCTTCGAATAAAAAAGGTCCTAGGTTCGTGGCAATATAGATCGAGACGACACCGCCGCCCCAAAATCCGTCCCACTTTCTGCGGCGAGCCAGCAGCCAGTAGATCCACCCACCAATGCCCGGCATCAAAAGGAAGGCGGCCGGGTCCGGCGATGTCCCCGACGCCGGGGCGGGTGAGGCGTCGCTCGCTTCGCTGGCCGTTCGGCGGGAGAGGCTCAAGGCAAGTCTGCTAAGCTTCCCCGAGGCGGCGGCGCTGGACGAGCTTCAGCTGGACGACGCGGCCGACAGGATCTTCAAGGAGTACGACCCCTCCACCGCGACCCCGACCCCCGAAGGCATGGTTCGCCTGGACGACGATAGCATCATCGCCGCCTTCAGCTTCGCCAACTTGCTGTTGACCTCCACCGCCGAGGACGAACCGCCTGCCGGGGTGGATCCGCTGGTGTGGCTGGATGAACGGAGGCAGGCGCTAGACGAGGCGACGAAGAGGTCTGAGCCCAACAACTCGCGGTTGGTCATCGCCAAGATACGCGTCGACTTGCTCACCAAGGGCTACGTCGAGCTCCCCAAGCCGTACGTTGAGTGCATGCCCGTGCCCCCGACAGTCCGTGCCCGCAGCCCCCCAAGAACATGACAGCAGTGGTGGATGGATGAAGCAGCTATGCAAAGTATGGTAGATATATTGATATAGATGTGGATAGATAGATAGGTAGGTATGCTAAATATAGGTGCAGGACATGAGGATTAGTGTGCGCTTGTTTATGAATCCACCTCCAGATCTTTTTTTCTATATATACGTGGAGAACTAAGTTATGCAGCAGACCCATCTATGCAAGTTATGTAATGTGTAGTTATGCATCAATCTACTCAAGTTTACCGAACCATCTATCCAAGCTACATTGCGCGGATACTTTAGAAAGTGCGCGTATCCAGCCGGATACTGCCCGATACGTATCGGGTAAGTATCCCTCGATATTTTGATTTAAAAAAAGAAAATAATATTAGATACTCCTATGATACTTATGTGATACGTTTTGGATACCTGAAACCCCTCGTTCGGCGTGAAATCCCCTTAATAATAAAGGCGCACCTTTTGAAGCTTCCCAACATGGACGTGAGTTCATGTGAAAACATGTCTATCAATGTTTTTTGTTCAATTGAAAGGTGAGCAAGAGAGAGTCGGTGCATTGATTGGAACAATAAACCTAGGCACCAATTAATGGAAGTGGACTAAGTGCAAGAAAAGAAAGGGTAATCCTATTGAGGCATGCTTTGACCTAGAAGCTCCTTAATTTTTTTTCATATTTGTAATAATTAAACTCTGCCTATGTCTTCTAGGCATATCCGGTCCCAAGCCCGGGTAAAGGACGAGGGTTGTGATAGGCTTGGCGAGCCAACGTAAAAACTAGCCAGTCCCATAAGTATGAAACCCATTTGAGCGAGAGTAGTATGGGTGACCTCCTGGGAAGTCATCGTGAAAGGGTTTCATATATAAGGGTTGTGATAGGCTTAGCGAGCCAACGTAAAAACTAGCCAGTCTTTTGAGTATGGAACCCATTTAGGCGAGAGTAGAACTGGGTTGGGTGACCTCCTGGGAAGTCCTCGTGGAAGGGTTTCATATCTAGCCTACCCCAACTTTTTTGGGATAAAAGGCTAAGTAAGTAAGTAAGTAAGTATATTTGTAATAATTAATATATGTAACATCTATATATAAACATATCCTGTATCCATGTTTTTTGAAAATTGGCGTATCGGGCGTATCCCCGTATCGCGTATCCGATAGAAGCATGTTATTTTTGTAAAAAGTAGCATGTTATTTTCTAGGTCAACAGTTCAACGCTTTTATTGTCATAAAAAAAAGAGTTGACCACCTTCCGTTTTGTAATTTGTCAGAAAATAACATTCTACTTTTTACATGCCGAGATGTCGCTGCAGAAGCATCAAATAGAAAGGCTCAAGATCCAACCAAGCCCAAGCTAAATCCCCCCATACTCCATTAAGGCATTAACCAACTCTTTTCAGATTTATACATCAAACTGTGCATTCACAAGAGCTGCCGCCTATGCCTATTCCTTCTTTCTGATGCATATCGGGCAGCATGCTTATCTTGCACTATGTTACAATTTTAGTGAAACCGCTGATGCTCCTGAACTGCCAACAGCAGGGGTTTGGACTTCTAAGATCTCATATGAGATGATTATCTTTGGTCAGTTGTCCTGGGCAAAACTGTCAGCAGGTGAAGAGTTGCTAACCAGCCATTACACACCACCAGATGAATCTATTCTATTCCTAGAACGGGGGAATCAGGCGTGTTGCTCCTTATGCAATTGCCCTCGGAATTTTGCAATGTTCTTCCGCAGTTCAATATTTGACAGTCGCTCTGCCTCCAGTGCCCGTTCAAGCTGTTGAGCGCATCCAAAATGTTATGATGGGGAAGAGTATGAGAATGCTACAGGTCAAACAATAGCAATTAAATTATCCAGAGTACCTTTGCGGCTCGAGAACTCCATTCTCCAAGAATAGCTCTGAGTCTATCATTTTCTTCAACATACTGCACCCAGCATGTTCATAATCAAGTAAGAATGCTTTGCAAGCAGGCGTGGGAAACATTGACTTGATCGTCACACTATGGAAGAATGCTAGTGTTTGCTAAAACATACCTGACTATTGCTCAAACGAATACGCTGGATCTCCGAGTCCTTTTCATCAATCAGGCCACGAGCAAGCTGAAGCTCTGAGTGCACTTGATTCATCTGAACATTTAATTAGTATGGGATACTTCACGATGGAAGATTCACTAATGGAATTAAAGATGAATGGCTCAAGTAAATGGTTCTCATATCAATATTAACAGCTTTTCTAAATTAGAGTATGATTTTCAAATTAAAAGACTAGACAATTAAGAATTAACACAAACAGTCAACAAACACATGGCAGTGCCAGCAACTAGTTTGCACAGAAGATATATACTCTACGTAATAAGTTCATGTAAGCATTTCCTTTAAGTGGCCCAACACAGGTGATTTGACCTTGGGCACATGCCTTCAGGACTGCATGCCTTGCGAGCTCATGAAAAATGGCCACCTTGCTTAAGATAGTACAGATTATTACCTCGGCGGAGAGTGCTCGAAGTTCTTGGTCACGAGATGCTAAAAGATGGACAAGATCAACCTGCATAATTAGATAAGGGAATAACTTCAGGCAATCCACCACTTCATATAGTTCATATAACAGCTGAGTTTCTTCTCCAATTCTGAGCCTATGCAAGTGCCAGTTAAAGAAAACTAATGCAGAATAAGTAGTCAGTGTCGTGCAGACCTGAGGAGTGTTCCCAACATCAGTTCTCTGGTATTTGCTCAAACATTCTTGCAAGCGCAGCACCTTTTAAGAAAAGAAAAAGGAAACGGTTGGTCAACAAGCAAAGTTCTCAATGTGTAACTAACTTAGTATTATAATCCGTGTTAATTTGACCAGAAATGTAATCTAATCCTTCTGTGCCGAGTATGATCTGACTGAGGAAGGCAGCGGAGAATTAGAAAGGTTCAGCTCATTCCTCCTTTCAGGAAATAGTATGACTAAAAGTTCAGCTGCTTATGTTGCACAAAGATTTAAATGAAACAACTCGCGATTTAAGGCAATTAGATTTCAAAATGCACATAGTTACTCTACATGTTACCTTCTCTAAAACTGTTAAAAGGATCTAAGTATACAAAAGAAGAATAGATTTAGTGAGAGTGAGATGGGTCTTGACTATTCAGCATCACAGCTGTTTTCATTTTCTACGTACCTCTTCACTCAGGTAATGAATATTCTCCCTTTGGTATTGAAGTAATGCCATCTGCTGGTCAGAGAGACGGCCATCATAATATCTGGTGGAAAATAAAATGCATCAGTGCGCCTAGCTAGCTCTACTAGCAGTACCATGTTCAGTGATCTATATAACATAGTTTTAACTCTTTGAAGTCACTTGGTGCTAGACATGAGTTCGGTAGATATATTTGAATATATTTGTTTCTGTAGATATGAGTTCGAGAATCCTATCCGACACAGGACCCCCCCCCCCCCAAGTCTGCCGTGGTGCAGACTGTGTGAAGAAAACAGATGTTGTATGTGCAGTTCTAAATATCGTTTGTATCGGCTGGCTGCTGATACTGAGTATCGGTCAATATTTTGGTCATATCGGTCGATATTTTAGTCATAACGCTCCTTTCAAGCTAAACCAATATGAGCCCGATGTCTGATATTTTGAACCTTGATGTGCACAGACAAGAGTAACCAGCGAATTTTCAAATATGAAAATATAAGATATATATCAGTTAACATAGCAAAATGCAGCTTATCTGCAGTGCCCTGTTATTTAGTTACCTTCGATCTTCCAAAGTCGTAGTAGATGGTTGAAGTGCAGAATATAATGACTGCAAGATATCAGGCCGCCCATCCAAAGAGTTGTACTTATGGATATACCCTGTAAAAGGAACCAATCAGACGTTGCATCTTAAGACCATCTAATGGGAGCAAACATGCATTTATAAGGGGGAAAAACACAAGTCACATGTATTTCATTAGGTAGATGAACTGAAAAGAATCATGAGAAACATGTGGAATACCATTCAAGGAATGGCGGTGTTGCTTGGTTAATATAACTCCAAAAGAAATAAACCTAATCATGGTTGTCAAAATGAAGATTTCACAGAAATTTGAAGATGTGTGCCATGGTAACAAACTTGCAGAACAAATTGACATGATTCTAGCTATCTAAAAGGTACTCCCTCTGTTCACAAATATAAGATGTTTTGGATAATTCAATATGGATTATATACAGACTGAAATGAGTGAATAAAAACACTAAAACGTGTCTATATATATCCGATTCAGAAAAAAGTTAGAACATCTTATATTTGTGAACGGAGGGTGTAACAAACAACAATTTAACTCACATATGTATAAGCTCATAAAGCATCCAGCACATGTTGCTTCAACCACGATAACAATCCTGCATTATGTCAACTGGAATTGTAAGATCAGTTTAGCTTGGCATACTATAATATAAAAGTTAGAAACAGGCTCCCCGAAGCGATAAACATGTTAAACTTCAGCCCAGGAACTCTAATTTTTGGGCCAACTGACAGCTGAACTTATGTCAACAGAACAGAATACTAGAATACGGGTTTAAACACAACAACATAAGTAACCAACTGAAAACTTTAGAATGAAACAATAGAAACATGCCATATACGCCCATGCATTGCCTTCTCTTGCCATTTTGCTTGAGAACATGCCCATGTATTTTGCTTTGTAGTACAATATATAGATCAAGTTAGGCATAATGCTTTTCTTGCCAAGTTGCAGAAAATCATCCCAGGTAAGCTTAGGTATCCTCAGCTTACATTAAACAATTATGATTCAAGAGAGATCTCACAAATTTACAGAGGCTAAATACAGTGGCAAAGGTGTACCTTAGTAACAGTGAAATTGATAGTATATGTACAAAAGGTTGCCAGACTATGATTAAGAGCATTAAAGCAGTGCCTGCAGAAGCAATACACAATAACAATGAGTCAGTTTGACTGCGAAACATTAGAATGCATGAATCACCTAGACCTTAATTCATTGTGTTAATAGATTATTAAATCAGCCCTAAGAAGATAAAAATTAGAACCAAAAGCTATACACACTCTCAAGAGATGGAACCAAGGTGAAATGTTATCACATAAATGAAGCAGCAGCTCACTATAATGCTAGTTATAATTTATAAAATAATGATAAATTCTGGTTTAGAGCATCGCGCAAATTTGTTTGGTACTGCTCACCATAAGCAATAGTGGCAAATGGAAGTCGAGCAATGTGCTTCAGTTTTTGGCTAAAATCGTAATAGCCCTGCATGTCAAAAGAGACGCAGCATGTTAAAGTACAATAAGGAAAGGTAACAAAATGCAACTGTAGCACAGAAGGTAACAGAATGATAAGGGAACATAAAAGCTGATCATCTTTATATTCAAACATAACACTGGAACCTAGTAAGGAGAATAATTGAAAAGGCTTTTCACTGAGGAGCATATATTCATGAAACTTACGAAGTGTCGATCAAATTGATTACTCCAACAAACATATCACCACTATTACATGAAATATGAAATTAAAACACACTAAAGTAAAGATCTTTTTGATCGGCCGTACCTGCAATCTCACTTTCCTGACCTGGTGAACCCAATATTGTTGAAAAATGCCTGTGTTGAATTTCGCATGAACATTAAGTAAATAAATCACGTCAAGAGACATAACTTGAAACAAACAAACAAAATGAGCTAGTCAATCTGATAGAAAACCTGTAAGAAGCAGAAGGATAACATTGGAGCTGCATAGCAATGGAGGGATCATGCCTGGTAAACGAAGAAATATCCATGGAGCAGACACAGAAACAGCAGCATAACCTACCTAGAGAATAAGAAAGCACAGCTGTCATAAAGTGGACAGAGGAAGTGAAACAGCGTTTTGCTGAATATGACAGTCCCACGGAATAACAAAATACATGATGTTTTAGTTCATGTGGATACTTTACAAAGTACAATTATATCCAAGGTAATCTTCTTATGCATGATAACAATGAATGTGATCGTTATTAAGAAACTTGTCCTTACCAACAATATACAGTACAAGGTGCCACTGACTATGCTCCTAGGCTCTCGATGGCCAGATAGGGGAGCTTCATGTAGTAAATCGATAAACCTACATAAAAAAAAGGATTACACATACAGAAGAAACAGTATGATTGCCAAAAACTAAAGCAGTAAGAACTATACAAGGATAACGTAAATGCTGAGACAGCTCAGCTAACTATCTCTGTTTCTGCATCACCCTTGATCGTGCTGCTAGCTATCATGGAGTTCATACAAAATTCAGTTAACAATTGCACTGAGATTAATCCTGCATTGCAACATAAGCTAACCCGAGCAGCCAATTGACGAAACACTCAATCCAATCACTAGCCCCATGGACAGGCAAAGGGATTCAGACGATCAAGAAGGAACCTACGCACAAGCACCAAACAGTAACATGGGGGAAGAAATGCAGATTCAGAAAACTAGCCCCACGCCTTGTTTTCACATAACTGCTGCATACTTCACACACCTTAAACAAAACTCCGGACTACACGCATGACACAAATACAGAAGGCCAAAACGTTAGCCAACGCTGTGCCCCTCCCTCCCCACCTCTGCTCTCGCATTCAACGCACTAGCGCGGAAAATTTTCAACCCATGGCTAGGGCATGCGGCACCAACGCCGCAGAATCAAAAAACCTGCCGAGAGTGAATTGCGGACCACGCCGCGGAACCTGACACGGGCCGAAATTCCACCGCCATTGCCGCGGAATTGAGATCAGAGATCACCGCAGGCGCAAAGACGAAACCTCTACTGGACCGACCTAGAGGGGTTAGAGCGGCAAACTCACAGCGCGTCCTCCTCGGGGGCGGGGACGGCGGGCGCCGCGCCGCCCCGCTCGTGCGGCATCGCCGATGCGGTGGGGGAGTCGTCCCCGGCCCCCGCTACGCTGCCCGCGCGCGCGCGCCTCCTCCGGACGCCGGGTCGATCCGAGGGGTGGTCGTGGGCGGAGCGGCTCGGGCCGCAACTCCAATCTGATTAATGCGCGCCCTAGTGGTGGAATTGACGCGAGCTCGCTTCGGTTTGATTGATGATCTGTGCGGCGGGGTAACGTCAGCCCCTCTCCCTCTCCCTCCCGCCGAGGAAGAAGACAAGGTGCGAGTGGCTAGTGCTCTCTGCAGTCTTGCGACGTCATCTAGTCGTACTCTTTCTGAGGCTGCCGGTGGGTCCCACCCTACAGCCTCTCTTGGATTTCTTTTGCAAAAAAAATCAGATCTATTAGAAAAAGTTCATCAGAAGGACAAATCACCTCAAACATAATAATAATTACCTCGAGGTATCTAAACCAGGGAACAACCACTACCGTCGTCGTCAGAATGAACCGTCGACGCGTTGTAATCGCCACTCCCCTACCGGAGCCGGCTTGACCTTGTCGATGAGAGTCGAGAAGTTTTCGTGGGTGGCCCCTAAAGACCAGCACCCTGAAGCCGCGGGCGTTGTCGTTAAACCCGAATAGATATGGAGAAATTGACACCAAACCTCGTTGTTGCGCACACACGACGAGAAACCATAACCTCGCTGTTCCAAGGAGGTGGTGAGAATCTATGTCAGAGCTTCGCTGACTACATCTAAATGGACAAACTCGAGGAGGATCGAAACTCCGAAGGCAAACTCGAAGAAAAAGCGCCGCCATCCATCTGAGCGCCGCACTTGCGAGGACTGAAAAACTCTAACCTAAACTACTAGTCGGAGCGAAGGCACCGGGATCCCCTCCACACCATCGGCCATCAGAGCGGTAGGTAGAGGGATGGCGAATTCATGGACTCACGAGCAAAGCCCAGAGGGGAGAGCTTGCCCTACCACAGTGTCTCAAGTAATATCACACCTTTTGTTTACAATGGAATTTGTAGTTCATCTCATATGCAGTTTTTGGAAGCCATTGTAATGGTTTATCAATCTGAATTATCAGTGTCATAGTTTTCTTATCAGCAACATGCACATGGATTAGTGCCGTACATAGTTTATTTTCTTTCTTTTTTCCCGGGAAAGTGCCATACATAGCTTATTTTCTTTTTTTTTTCGGGAAAGTGCCATACATAGTTTATGCGCAAAACTCCGGCGGCTTCCCTCCACCGGCGACCTCGGTGGTCGATGGTGAGGGGGGTCGCCGGATCCACGCGTGTGGATCGTTTTTACTCTCTCGTAGTTTAGGTTTTTAGGTTGTTCATCGTCTTTGCTTCGGCGACGACGATGACAACGCTGAATAAAGATTCTTCGGATCCTTTCCTGACGAGGCCATCGGTCCTATGGTTGGGGATGGATTTGGAAACCAGTCTGTTCAAGTAAGGATGGCGTGGCGGCGGCGGCATCCTCGTGGTGGACCTGTGTCCTCGGGCTCCGCCGTTGCGACGGCGTTTGCTCCAGCGTCGGCGCGGAGCTTGGGAGGTAGTCCAAGAGCGGATGCAGATTGTGGTCTGCATCGACGACATCTGGAAGACGGAGCATGTGCTGGGCTCGTGGTTGGTGGATGGCAGATATGGTTTCCTCCTTCGGTGTTTTAGTCGTGGTGGGTTGCTAGATCTGGAGTTCGATGGCGTGTCCGGGGTGTTGCCCCGGTCTGATTCGTTCAACGGTAAGGGTTTCACTTTTGGCGAGCCACCTTGGAGGTCCGTAAAGCTGCATATCAGCGATGGAGCCGCGTCGAGCTCGGGTCAGGAGGTGATTCGTCATTCTTTTCTTCGGTGGCTGCTGTGGTGGTGCCGGAGGCAGGTGACGGGCGTTGGTGTCAAGCTCAGAGATGTTCTGTTATCTTTTCAGTTTTGTCATGTCGGTCTTTACGTGACTTGTACTTTGTTCTTTATGATATGAATGAGACACGTATTACCATGCAAAAAAAACTGAATCACAATATTGTGCTCTTCAATGCAATTCCAGGAAGGTCAAAACTTTAATACTGCTGGTAAAGATTGTATGTTGCATATGAGAAAAAAATATGGGGTTCAAAAGATGTAAGTGACAGCGACGGCTACAGATCTAATCTCTTTCGGCTTCACCGACCAACCCATGGATTATCCTCCCTCTGCATGCCGCTAAAGCGGCTGGTGATGGGGAGGGGAATCCTATTGCATTAGCTCCGGCTAGTAGTTTAGGTTGTGTTATAATTTTATCATGGATGGCATCCAGGTGGATGGCGCTGACTCTCCTTTAAGTTGGACTTTCGGGTTTTGATCATCCTCGAGTTCATCCATACAAAACGGGTTCAATGGAGCTCGACATAGATTCCTTTCATCTCATTCGGGCGGCGAGGTTAGGGTTTCTTGGCCCGTGTTCGCATGTCAGGCGCTTCGTATTAATCCAAGAGTTCAGTTGTGCCTACTGCAACTCTAGGCAGTGGCGGAGCTACAAATACAAAGTTGGGCGGGTCAGATTGAAACTGACCTCAAGTCTAGGCTGCTGATCCTATGTAGTATAGTTTTGTAATTTTGCTAAAAGTCTGGGCGGGCCATGGCCTCTTCGGCCACAACGTAGCTTCAACAGCGGCTCTAGGTTGTTGGTCCTTGGAGACACGTGCACAAAAGACTTCCCAACTGTCATTGACGAGGTCAAGCCAACTGACTTCGATAGGGAAGCAGTGACAATGGCACTTCAACCCCTCGTTCTGGTGGCGATAGTGGTCGTCCGGTGGTCCAAGGACCTCGGTATAGTTTTAATTATGTTTGGAATTTTTTGTACTTCTAATGAACCTTTATAATAGATCTAGATCCTTTCACCAAAAAAAGAAACAAGTTCCAGATACCCCTAAATCTCCTCTTCTATCTTGTTCAGTTGAGATTCGGTATAACAGTCACCAGTCACACAGCTTTCTCCGTGGAGCAAAGATCGATGAATTCAGTAAAACAGTCACTACCATTTCTCGGCCTAGTCTTAATCAGACTGTCAACGAGCATAGTAGCAGTAAGCAACTTGTACTGTTGAATGGTAAGTGGCATTCCAAATTCAGCGGCCACAAACAACATTTAGAACTCGCAACATTTTGCACATTTCTTGAAAGTGCCCAGGTGGAAAATGACTGCAGAAAGCTAAGCCGTAAGTAGCAGCACTAAGTAATGCATGCTGGCATGAAACATCAAACTCATATCCAGCAACATCAACACACGCCTCAATCGCCTCTTGTTCAGTTGAGATTCGGTATAACGATCACAGCTTTCTCTCCACGGAGCAAAGATCGATGAATTCGGTAAAACAGTCACTACCGTTTCTCGGCCTGCTTCATAAGTGGAACGTCAGGGCCGGTCCTGACATATATATGTAAATAAATGTACCCCTATGGACGGGAGTAACTACACAGCACCATTATACTTGACAGTGGGATTATGTAGGTGGTACAACACCATCATCGACGAATGCCTGGCACGGCGAAGGGTGTCAAATTGGTAATGGTTCTCTTGACAAAGACTGAGAAACGCGTGCCTGGTGTCGAAAAACTTGTTTTCTATGATACCGTCTCCATCCTTTGTCTCTTCAGGCACACCCACAATGTCAACCTAAATGAAGAACATCAAGTTAGGTTTCCTCTTTTCTTTTTCTAAAGAGAAGAGAGAAGAGAGTCTTGGTTGGTTAGTTACCGGATGGAGCTCATGAGTTTCTCTACTATTGCTCGGATGCCTCTCCCTCTCTTCAAGCTCTTGTTCTGCACTGTAGCACCTGCATGCAACAGGAAGATACAAATGTTCACAAACACAACTTCAGAGAAGCTAAAGGTTTTTCGAAAATGGCGAGCTGTATACGTAACTGCAAAGTACAAACAACTCATCCCAAGGATAGAATACTTCTTATATAGTACAGAATTTCCCAGCACATGTAGTTAATTTCATCAGCCCCCAGCTAGGCCTGATGCTGTGTTTGGGGTGGACATCAGTCCCCCCTTGCCTTTCCAGGGGAGGATTATGCAGTCATCTGGGGTGACCCCAACTCCCCAAGAGACACCCCAGTTCAAGGATACAACAGTTTGCGTGCTAGACAAAGCTACTTAAACTGCTGCTTTATAAAAAAATTATTACCTCCATCCCAAATCTAAGACAACTAATTCGGGACGGAGGGAGTATATAATTTGTCATGCAAGTGCCTAGGCACCTGTTTATCTCAAGGCACCTGGCCCTGAGAAAGAGCAATGATGCAAAAACCTGTTGGCACATACAGATGCTTTTGACTTCAATCACATATAGATCAAGTACACGTGGGCTCTATAGCACAGGTGTCATATGGTTCAAGAAATTGGCTTACTTGTCACATATGTAAAAACTTCTGCATTGATGACAAGCCCAACGTTTTCCAGACGACATAAAGCTACGACAATGGCTACAAGAATACTGCAAATGGACCATAATGAAATCTTCCTTCATTGGATAAATGGTTTCCCCAAGCTGCATACATCAAAATCGAATTCATGGTAAAGATGTCATCGAACTGAAACAAACAAGTACATTTTCACAAAAATGAGGGGGTTCCGGGAGATATACAGTATTACAAGAGGTGCAAGAGAACCACAGAATAAACTTACCTTTTGCATCAGCATATCATCCTCGGAAGCGTTCCCACTTAGATCAGTGTGGCCAGCAGCTTCAAGAGCTCTTTTTCTAATAATTTTCTTTGCATTACCCTTCTTCTGAAGCTTTTGGTCATCTTCTTCTTGATGCAGTTGATTGACCATACCTTCGGCAGCTCCTGGCCAGTAATCTCCATCGAAGTAAGTCAAACGAGAAGCAGTAACTTTAGCCTTGCACTCTCCCGTAGTAATGAAGAAATGGTCATACAGATTTGTAAGCTCAACAACAATCTCCTCCTTAGTAGCTTTTCGAATCATGGCTAAGCACCTGAGTGTGTAAGACATTTGAAATCATGCAACCAGGAGCTAAATGTAAGCAGAAAAACACGTGTGTCAATCCAAGGCCTTACCACTCCCGGAGTATGTCAGATGTTCGAGTCGTCTGAATCGTAGGATTGCAATAAAAAATGTTATCACCTTCCAGAGGTGGGCGAGCCCATATATAACAGCTTGTGAATCCACGCTGCTTGCAGTATTCAAGATATCCTATCTGTACACATCGAGAACTGGTGTAAGATTACAGGAAAATGCTAGCTCAGAGAGGAAGACATCACATCTAGTAGTTTCATACAGGAATTTTTTCTGACTAGCCTATCAACAGCAAATATATTCGCAACTGTGATTAAAATTCAGCATATGCAGCAAGTTACCAGAATTTCATGGTAGACGAATGTACGCAAGGCCTCTCCAGTGGCTGCTTTAATCCCGGGTCTGAAGTATTTCACAGAATCCAGGTATGACAAGTAAACACGACGTTGGTTCGGGAAAGCGCATTCAGCACCAAATTCTTGAACATACATTCCAAATAAGCAGACTTCTACACCATCTATTTTCTGGAACAAAAGAACAGCCTGCCAACAATCATAGGAATAGAATCATATCACTCTCTGTTGTCAGCATAATTTATACATTAGGCATAAGTTCCTACCTTGGACTTGTAAGGGAATTCCGTCGGGTAATTATCTTCTTGAAAAGTTTCCAAAAAACGTGGTTTAACTCCAACCTTCTTATCCACTGATGAAACAACTCTGACCACAAGACCATCTGCTCCAGCAACCTAACAAATATGGAACAATTAGACTTTAAAAGTGACGGAGGAAACATTTCTATCAAAATACTAGTTCACAATGATGCCAAAATATATGGTGTCTGATGTGATTCAAGTTACAGGAAGTCCCTGTCTCAAATAATACATAATCAGAACTCAACAAGACATCATAGAAAAAGAAGCGCATAAAGCATCAAGATATATAACATACTTCAAGTACACAAGTAAGCAAAGCTCATATACACTTCAGACTTCAGGTCTCTGAGCTGCCAAAAGATCATTCCTAGGTTGATTTTTCAAGCCAACCATCTTTTTTGTAGTCCAGTTGCTGTTATTGTATTTTTTTATTGGGTCGTAAATAATCAGATGAAAGAAAAATTGCACTATATGCCTGCGTTGCAAACTATAAATACAATACAATCTGGTTTCTTTTTCATATAAGCCTTTAATATATAGTTGAAGCACCCCTTCCGAACAATAAATGGGTAATTCATACTATAAGTTAATTCTCCAAAATGGTATACCTCATTACATACCAGGTGGGAGTATACAGCTAGATAAACTGCTAGGTCATCCTGGTTGATGGAAAAAGTTGCTATGGGATCTGAAAGAAAAATTAAACAGGCCCCACATTTGGTCTGTTTTTTCTCCTTTCAAATCCGGTAAGCGAAAACATGGACAGGACAATCATTACAGTAGGCTGCAATTATTTGCATGGTATTTTTTAAAAGGATTTGCATAGTGTATAGGCACTTAAAAAACACTATCAGATAGCATATTTTTTGTCACAAAAGGTAATATGCTACCATAGTGCATTAAGGAGCCATGCATTGCTGAGAAACATAAACAAATGATGTACACGTGCTCTTCCACCAACACTTAGTTTCACTAACCTCGTCAAAACTACATCCTGACTGAGATGCCCGTGCCTGTCTCTCCAGCTTAAGCCGTTTAAAAAGCCGCTCTTCAATATGATCGCTAAGAACAGTTCTTGGCAGATCACTTGCCCCAAGAACAGCACTCTGTGGTGAAGGCACGTGCAGCCCATGCTTCACTTCATCAATATAGCAATAGAGGCAAGTATATGCTTGTTTTACATCATAGTTTATGCCATTAAACAGAGCACATATCTGATGCTGCATCTTTCACAATTAACCCACTGTGGAATGCATCATTCAGAGAGATTTAGTAAAAACCGAATATAATCAAAACTACAGTTATGCAACCATCAGAATAGAAATACGGAACTTACACATTCTTCAGTTTCCTCATCATTTCTATTTTTCTGAAATCGGGCCTTGGGAAACATCTGTCCTTCAACCTCAATGGTGTGACCACGGGACTTATTGTAACATGGAATACAGACAGAGTGGCTGGTATCACCAGTGTTATAAGCATAGTATGGTCCATTTCGCCTTATCCGAGCACCACAAGGGAAGCAATACATTGGTGGGGGTTCAAAAGTGAGTTTTTCCTGTTTGCAGAGCTGGCATGCATTTTCATTTATACTATCAGACACCGGCGGCAGTTGTTGACCATATAGGGGATCTTCACGTAGTGAATCAATAATAAGCCTACATAAAAGAAGGATCGTGTGTCCTGAGAAAACATTATGACTGCCAAAAACTAAAGCAGTATGGACTATGCAAGGATAACGTAGATGCTCAGACGGCTCATCTAACTATCTCTGTTTCTGCACCACCCTTGGTCATGCTAATCGCTATCGTGGTCGTGGAGTTCATACAAAATTCAGATAACAGCTGCACTGGTATTAAACCTGCAGTGCGACTTAAACCAATGCAAGCAGCCAAACTACTCAACACTCCATCCAATCACTAGCCCCACCCCATGGACAGGCAAACGGGTTCAGATCGTCAAGGAGGAAGCCTAAGCACAAGCACCAAACCGCAACATGGGAGAAGAAGTGCAGATTCAGAAAACTGACCCCAATGCCTTATTTTCATAGCATTATTTTTGCACACTTCACGCACCTCAAACAAAACTCTCGACCACACACAGGACACAACAAATCTAGAAGTCAAAAACGCACGAGCAACGCTGTGTGTGCTCCTCCCTCCCCACCTCTGCTCCCGCGTACAGCGCACTAGCACAAGAAACTCCAATCCACGGCTGGGGCAGGGATGCGGCACCAAGATGCCAAAAGCCCCGGCAAACGCACCAAAAACCTGCTGCGACTGAATCGCGAACCGCGTAACCTGACACGAGAGACAGGCCGAAATTCCTCCGCCATTGCCGCGGAACTGAGGTCAGAGACCACCGCAGGCGCGCGCACGGACGGAGCGTCTACTGGGCCGACCTAGAGGGGTTAGGGCGGCGGACTCACCGCGCGTCCTCCACGGAGGCGGGGACGTGCGCCATCGCCGCCGGCCCCCGCTCCGCCGCCCGCGCGCGCCTCCTCTGGATCCGAGTGGTGGTCGCGGACGAAGAAGCTTAGGCTGCAACCCCCGTGCGATTAATGATCTGTGCGGGGGTGGAGATTGATGCGAGCTCGGCTCCGGTTTGATTGATGATATATGCGAGCCGGACTCCTCGAACGCGAAATCGCGACCCAGCCGCCCTTCTACCCGCCTTCCGCCGCCAAAGTTGGATGCGGCCCACGCTGGCCATCTGAACCGCACATACATATATTAATTCACCTAAAAAAACATATATTAATCTATAAAATACTCCCTTACAAAAAATCTGCATACATCCGCATTCTGGAGGAAACTCTAGTCACTTCGCTCCGCATGCGCCCCAATCTCCAGCGATCTTCGGCCTTCTCCACAGGGCCGGCCCTGTGTTTCAGGAGGCCCTAGGCGAACTCTACGACATGGTCCCTATGTCCTAAGATCATACTTATATATGTATATGTGTGCGTGATACATAAACATCTTTAGTCTAAGATTTGATGACTATAATGATTGTTGGATGGCCATATTATGACAAAAGTACTAAAAATATACTAAAGTGAAACTAACATGACATGATAACCTCAAAGAAGGACCAAATTCAAAGAACCCTTCAGTGTTCGAATTTTCGGATCACTTTCTTTCTTTTTTCTCCTATTTTCAACAACCGACAAATGCTTTTTTAGGCAACATGGCATGGTAATGTCAGAAATTTATACATCGGATGATTGAAACTCTAGACAAGTACGCAAAATAACAAAAAAATAGGGTGATTACGTACGGTGAAAGATTTTATTAGAAAATTATACACTGAAATTATTCCACGTACTAAAGAATAAAACAAAAAAACTACTAAAAATTGGGGTTTGGGGGGTGGATCAGGAACGTGGGGCGCTCACGGCTCACAAGCGTATAGCGTATTACCTCCTTGCTGGATATGCCAGATGGCCGGACTGATGCGCGGGGCGCGCAGCCGCGACAACCAGCGGCGGCCAAGGCGCCGGGCGACAGGCCGACGATCGAGAAGAGGACGAACAAGAAGACGAACGCACGAGCAACGAACGCACGAGCTAATTAGCGAAACTATGACTCGATGAGATCTTGTCTGATTTGTTTCACACAAGCGAAAGGAGCGGCTGTGGCGCCGTGCCTTCGTCTCGCGTAATGACTGCTTCGCTAATCGCTACTAGCTTTATCTGATGGGCCTTATTTTTTCTTATCTACTTCATCATGGGGCCCCCTCCGCCCTGGGCCCTGGGCCGTCGCCCCCCGGCCATACCCACAGGGCCGTTCTCCAACATGATGGGCAGCGGATACTGACTCTGACTCTAAGATATCCCAATTCATCGTCCGGACCTCGTGCCATGCGGGGACAAGGAGAAGATGTCCGTTCGCATGGCTCTTTGCCGCTCCCGAGAGGAGTGCGACCAACCGCGTTCTGAGTCGATTCAGGGGGAATCCATTGCGTCCGCGTAAATGGCGCCGGACCTGGTGACCACCGGCTGGCGGCGCAACCCCTTCGGTAACGCATTGTCCTTGCGGCGTCCGGCTCCAAGTTGGAAGTTAACGCTAACATGGTTTACGACTCAACTGGCTAGGAGGCGCAGCGTGACCGCAGCGTGCAAGGAACAAGGCGCGGGATGAAACCGCGGCAGCCCTCATGGTCGAGACCGCGGAGGCGGAGTCGCATGCCATCATGGACGAGGAAACCCTCCGTGCATGCAGCCTCAAGGGAGTGGCAAAGGAGGACAACATGCCCTGGCAAGGAAGCAAAGTCAAGAAGTCCGGACTGCTCCTGAGTCCTGACAAAGGAGGGGGAAACCACTAACGGATCTGAAAGCTCCGGCTGGATACATATTGAGTCTTCGACCACTACTTCCACGACAAAGATGTTAAGGGCAGTCGTGGGTGAACTTTCTCCAGAGCTCTAGCCACAGCCCTTCTTCCATGAGATTTTACCAGTCGCTAATTGGTATGTAGAACATTGTCAATTTTTGGTAAGTCCGATGACATGTACTCCCTCCGTCCCAAAGTAAGTGTCTCAACTTTGTGCTAACTTTAATGTAAATTTATACTAAGCTCAAGACACTTATTTTGAGACGGAGGGAGTATGATGAAGTAGGAGCATATGCCAATTTATGGTAGTCCGATGACATATGTACTGTTGGGCAGTCTTGCGACGTCACCTCGTCGTACACTCACTGAGGCTGCCGTAGGGTCCCACACCGCAGCACCTCCTGGACGACCTCACGCCTTTTGTGATTGATAATGGAATCTGTAATTCATCTCATATGTGCTGTTTTTGGAAGCTGTTGTAACAGTGTATTGTTCTCTGGATTTTCAGCGCCCTTGTTATTAATCAGCAACACCCATCGAGTTTAGGCGCAAAATTGTTTCATTTACTGTATAGTGGGAAGAGTTCTGAAATACAGGTACAGGAAGGTCAAAAACTCCAATTACTAAAAATTGGTAAAGTTTGTGTGTAGTTGTACTACATACAAAGAAAACGGGGTTCAAAACCGGTTTCAGAAGCCCCTAAAAATCTTCTCTTCTATTTTGTTCAGTATAACAGTCAGAGCTTTCTTCGTGAAACAAAAAGTCGATGAATTCCACCTACAATCTTCACAATGAATTGGAGGTTAGATCCAGGTCGCCACTCTTCAAGCGACAGCCGCGGCAGCAGGAGATGCTTGCGGTTGCAGATCAATGACGCCGTGGCACCGCGAGCATAGCGTAGGATGGTCAACGAACGACCCAACGTCCTTGGTGTAAACCCAGCAGCGCTCGCATTTCACGCCATCCGCACGAGTCACACCGATCCAGATCTCGCCCGTGCGTGGGCCGCTGAACTTTCCGGCGTAGGACACACCTGATGTGGTTTCTTCACTCAGGGATGGGAGAATCTCCACCTGCAGAAAGACAAAAAAGAGATGTCAAAACAAAATTGAAGGCAGAAAGAGGGCCTCTGATTTTGAGAAAAGACAAATGTTCTACCTGAGACGTGATAAATAGGCGATGAAGAGCATCTGCATCATTGGTTGCAGAAGCCAGCTCCTTCAGTTTGGATACCGTATCGGGATTCTCAGCATGGAGATAAACCTTTGCGTCCAAACTAGCGCCGATCAGCTTCCCTGTTCTAGCGCTCTCCAAAATCTTGTTCACCTCTGATCTCAACTGGTTAACAAGCAAATGCAAAATATCTGTAAGAAATCAGTGTTGAAGATATGAACTCATGTGTGGCAACAAAATATATATTAAAATAATGACCATAAAATGATAATAATAAAAAAAAAGAGCTGCAAATGTTCTAGTATCTATCACTAACGTTTGAACTTTGAACTGCCAAAACATCTTACATTAGTTACACCCTCTGTCGCTAATGTAAAGACGTTTTGGCTGTTCAAGAGGTAGTAGCAATTAATTAACCAATTTAACAGAAATGAGCGTATTACACATCAGAAGTGGTTTCATCTGTGTCTGATCGATAAGATGGAACTTGGATGTGTTGAACTGGAATGTTCCAAGTTGGAGGCACGGGTTTCATAAAACATATATTTGAAGAAAAGATGGCTGGCCTCTAGGAATATATCGGTCAAGTTATAACCTACAACTAGGGATGCAAGGAGTGCGCCACATATCACACACCCCAGTACAAGTTAGTGTTAATTTTGTGGCCATAGTATGCTAATTGCATTGCAGGACAGGGAGGGCGCCACTTGCGTCCCTGCCTA